TTTTTGGGGGGGTGGGGGGGGGTGGGGGTGTGTAAGTGCAGATAACCACTGTACCAGCTATCTTTGTGTACTATCCGATGTTCTTGTCATCATATTTTGACTTCACCAACTTAGATCTTGGTATTACGGGTTAACTTAAGGGTATAGACCTTTGTCAGAATAAAGTGAGAAACTGTAGTACTGGCCTTCTACCTGTCCTTGTGGTTAAGTGCGCTTGCACTAACTCCTAGTGGTCTTGGGTTCGAAGGAGGTTGGTACTACATTCTCTACAAAACCCAAAAAAAAGAAACTGTAGTTGATTCTATTGTTTCCTTGAAGCAGGTTTATTGCTGTCATCTTGGTCTTGATTGATTATCTCATTCTATATTTCATTGATGAGAAGAATATATAAATGAACTCCCTTAGATTACATTGTTTTGATACAAAGAATGATAACTTCAAACAGTATTGACTCACCAAGATATTTGCTTCACTTGAAGACATTACTCGAAATCCCACAGTTTTAAGAATTTCTACTTCAACCCCACTAGGTGCAATTTGTAGTTGTATCCTTACGGAAAACCCTAAATACTCTATTTCCCCCTTTATGTGTAAAATATATGAATATCTCTGTGCCGCCTAGCCTTTCTAATTATGTCCCATAGACCCTGTAGTAATTTCCCTTACTCTTTTCTTTTCTATCCTTCTTGGGTTTTTCTTGGAATAAATACTTTTTAAAAGTTTTTCTTGCCCTGCTTGTGGTTTTCTATTAATTCTGAAAGTAAAAGTGCTCTTTTAACCTGCTTGGATTTCTTGGAGTGACTACTTGTTATCTAATTGCTTATGTTGTTGCTGATGGCAGATGGGCATCAAATTGCTACTGTATCACATGACCGAACCATCAAACTGTGGTCCAGCAGTACCAATGAGAAGGATCAGGCAATGGATGTAGATTAGGAACTCCTCAATTCTCCTTAAAACTACAAAAGATGAAAGTGTTGGTCGATCTTACTTGGGAATACATGGATTATAGTGAGACAGTTCATTCAGGGTTAAAGGCTTGGTTCTAGTTCAAAATCGGAAAGTTGGTTCTAGCTGTAACATCATAAGGTACATGAGATAATGTCTCTAACAACTTGAAAGACATCTAAAATGCCTCTTTTATTAGCTGCTTCAGATGGAACCCTTGCTGACTGGTAGATATTGGTATTCAAATTTTTTATATTATAAAAGTTGTGAGGCTCTGTGCTGCCAGTGGAACAGTGTTTAGTCACGTAATCTTAAATGCTGAACTTTTGACTTGAAAGCCTTTTTTATCCTCTTTGTTTGTCTTTGGATTATGTTTTAAATTAGCTTGAATAAATGAGAATTGGATCATCGATAAGCAAGCAAAGAATAGATGAGGAGTTGATGACAAAGGAGAGAAGCAATTAATAAGAATCTGGACAGTAGTCAGAGAAACACCTCAAATCTAAGTTAAAGGAAGATTTTATTTTATTTTCTTGCCATAAATTTCACTCTTCCTACCTTTATTATAGTCTTGTTTTCACTCCTATATTAGTTTGGGGTACTGAGCTTCATACAATCTTCTCAGAGAGCCATGGGAGCCATTTCGACTAACCCTTCGTTCTCCATGGCAATAGCTCTCATGGTATCTGCTCTACTTATTTGTTCCCTTTCTCTCTTATACAAGCTGATCGTAATGGTGGCTTCAGTGTGGAGCTTATTCACCACGGGGTACTGAGCTTCATACAATCTTCTCAGAGAGCCATGGGAGCCATTTCGACTAACCCTTCGTTCTCCATGGCAATAGCTCTCATGGTATCTGCTACTTATTTGTTCCCCTTCTTTCTTATACAAGCTGATCTTAATGGTGGCTTCAGTGTGGAGCTTATTCACCACGACTCTCCCATGTCCCCTCTCTATAATCCTTCATAAACACTGTCACAACGTGTGAGAAATGCTTTGCAGCGTTCCATTAACCGTGTCGATTTCTTGAGCAAAATTTCATTCCTTTCAAACATGCCTAAATCTACAATAATATCAGACATGGGTGAATATCTCATGAAAATATCAGTAGGTGCACCTCCTTGGGAATTCTTTGGCGTTGCAGATACAGGTAGTGATCTTACCTGGACGCAATGCATGCCTTGCACCACTGTTACAAGCAGAAAGCACCGATCTTTGATCCGAAAAATTCCAAAACTTATGCAGAAATTTATCGTAGCTCAAGCGAGTGTCAATCTGTGAATGGAACTTCTTCCCTTCCCAATGCAGAAGTTAGTCACTACACAGTTTCTTATGGAGATGGATCCTACAGCAAGGGAATTCTAGCCACAGAAAGTCACTTTTGGCTCCACTACTGGCCAACCAGTTTCACTCCCAAAAATGATCTTTGGTTGTGGACAAGACAATGAAGGCCTCTTCAACAAGAATGGATCAGGCATGATCGGCCTCGCATGTGGATCGGTGTCTCTTATCTCTCAAATGAGTTCTTCAGTTGATGGGGAATTCTCCTACTGCCTTGGGCAGGCCTTTTCAAGACTCAACTCTTCAAGCAAAATGAGCTTTGGCAGTGAAGCTGTGGTTCCTGGTGTCATGGTGGTTTCTAACCCCTTACTTCTACAAGACCGAAAATCTTTTTATTATCTAAGGTTGGAAGCAATGAGTGTGGGACGTAAGAGATTGCAATATAACGGTTCACTGAGCTCCTCATTTGCTCCAGCAGAGGGCAATATTATCGTCGATTCCGGGACTACGTTGACATTGCTACCAGAAGACTTTTACAATAAGCTGGAATTGGCAGTGAGTAAGGCCATATGGTTAAGACGTGCAAGTGATCCTCGTTGCTTCCTAAGCCTTTGCTACCGGACCAAATCTGGTGCTATCAAAGCTCCGTTAATTACTGCACATTTCGCTGGTGCAAATGTGAAGCTGACTGCAGTGAACACCTTCTTAAGATTGTCAATGGACGTTGTCTGCTTTGCTTTCAGACCTATTAATCAGAGTGTCGCTGTCTTCGGCAACATGGCACAAACGAATCTCTTGATAGGCTATGACCTTAAGAAAGATACTGTTTCTTTTAAGCCTACTGATTGCACCAAAAATGAATTTGGTGTCATAGCATAGTGTAGTATTGTCCCATAGCACAATGCCGCAAATAGACGACATAATGCTGCACATTTCAACTTGTCATTTCATATATAGATGCATAATGTCAACCAATTTAAGCATAATGTTGATTTTATCAAAAAATAGAAAGCCATAAAGTTGCAAATCAGTAAATGTAGGTAAACATTACAATATTATTCCCACATAAAAAAAACAAATTTACAATATTATTCATTAATAATTTGGCAGTCTTGCCTAGTGATTGATTACCCTAAGAGCCATGGGTTAGCATTCCAAGACAATTTCAAACCTGGCCAATTTTTCTCATCTTCAAGGGCCAAAATACAAATCATAACTCTAAATTTATCTCATTGTGAGATCCTTTCTTTAAAATAATATAAACAAATATAAATTGGAACCATCTTAAGGATGTCAAAACTTCAAATCACTCATTTGTATTTTAACTCAAAGATGTACTCTAGCATCTCTGGCTTCGACCCACTTACAGGAAATAATACAGTACAACATGCTTCCTTCACCAAAAAGGAAATGCGCGTGGATAGTCCATGAACGTTAATAAATTAGCCAAAAGTATTGCGTCCCTTCCGCATCACTTGTACCAGCCAGCAAGGAAAAATCTCAGCACGAAACAGAAGCAGCAAGCGATGGCCTGTTGCATGTAGGCATTCAACAATTGCAACATTTACAAATTACACAACTAAAACACAAATATGATCACAGAATATCAATAAATTGTCCGGCATGCACCTTAGCATGCATCTTAACTAAAACACCAAAGAATGCAGTATATTTTCAGACAATATGCCAACTGTTCACTAGGTTTCCACCTGGAGACATAAAACGCTAAAAACCATTCTTAATAGATGGATATATTTTGCCTAAAACAATCGACTAAGATTTAAACCCCAGGGGATAGCTCAGGTGAGGAGGTTAGGATTGGAATATCTCATGGGATTCAATCCCACCCCAATGTACCAAAGAAAACAATCAACTAAGATTTAATCTCAGAAAATTGGGGTGAAATACATGGATCCTTAAGCTGCTGGCTTCTTACTTTTTAGTAACCAATCTACTTGGGTAGGTTTTATACTTACTAGATTTGGAGCATGACTGACATGGCATAATCATGCCAACAGTATCAACTTATTGTCCAAATGGTGACAAACGATAACACTCACATGTGCAGGAAGTATTTACAAGTTCAGCTGGATCTTTCCCCATTTAGCCTAAGAATGCAGGTCATAGGCTTTTGCATACCACACAAATATCTTGTGGTGATGGAGGTGGACTCAAGATTACATGCAGTAAATATGCAGGTTATAGGGAAAAAAAAAATGAATAAATAACCTGGAAAACTAGAAGATAGATGCAAAGTGACTTCTCCGTCATCCTGCCAAATCGTCTTAGAAAAAAGTTTACAAGTGTCCCATCATTTGTCCCAGTCAGCAGTCCAGTGCCAGGATCAAACCTGAGAAGTAAAAGGAAAGATATTTATAGTGATCATTCTCTATGATGCCTCCAGCAGTTCCTAATCATAAGTTAGAATTCACACAAAATTACCTAGGAAGACGATGCCGTGGACATGGAACAATGCCAGCAAGCTGAAAAGAAGGTAACAAAAGGTGAGGTACATGTCATGAATTTTAGCTGTCATGTATGAGAGAGAGAGAGAGAGAGAGAGAGAGAGAGAGAGAGAGGATTATATCAAACCTGGGGCAGTGACAAGAGAAAGTTCAATACTTGAGGGGCAAAGAAAATCAGGAGTGTTTCACTGAAACCAAAATTCAAAAGGATAAACAAGAGTCAACCATCAGGCAAACAACCAGGTTCACTTTAACATATTTCTCTTGTAAGAGGAAACATCAGGGAATGTCAGCTTTTAAAGGTGATTGAGGGTGACATTATATCCTAAGCAACAGGATAAACAACCAGGTATTGGCAAAATGAAAAAAAAAAAAATGGAAAAAGAAAGAGAAAGAAATCAATTGAAACAAGAGCGACTGACAATCTTATAAGTTTCCATCTATGGCATAGACTTGAAGAATAGAAAGCAATATTAGGTTCCTGAATAAAGAAAGGCAAGGATTTTCTAGGGTACCAAAAACAAGAATTTTCGCCATGATGCCTTTTATTTATGCAAGATTGGGAGTTCCAGTTAAAAAATTATGTAGGTAACAAAAACTTAGCACAGGATTGCAAGCCATAACTAAAATATGCAAATTAAGGTCCCACATATTATTAGTATTAAAATGAAATTGAATGATAAGGGAGAACACACCTAAAATGGCCTAAAATCCCAGCTACAGCCATCGTCATCCCAGCAAAGTATGTGTATGTATCTCCAACAAAAGCTGAAGAAGGATACCTAAAATAAGGAGAAAGGAAATGGTAAATATTTATGAAAGACGAGAGCCATAAACATAAGCAACTCAGTAAAATAATACAGAAAGCAACTCACCAGTTGTAAGAGAACAACGCCAATGAGGTGGCTAATAAGGGTTGGACAAGATATAGAGAGAATGCATGTGCCATCTTATACTCAGAATCTGCAGATGCTCCAATTTGCATGATATTGTGTATTAAAATCTGCAGATCAGTAGCATGTGTCATTTTTATAACAGAGCTGGAGGGCCAGTGTTTCACAAGTCTTTATACTCACAGCAGATGCAATGACAACTGTCTGCCCAACTTCAAGACCATTCAAGCCAGCATGAATGTTGATGGAGTTTGTACAGAAAACCGCCAAAAGTCCCATGTATAGCTTGTACATCCATCCTACATGTATAAAAGGAACATAAGATACAAATTCATTTCTCACTTTCTTAGAGCTATGCAACTCTTTTTATGAGCATACCTAGATCCAAAACCTCTAGCCCAACATATGGAATAAGAGGCTTTGGTATGATGATAGTTGTATGTCCAGCATAGGCCATCAGCAGAGGTAGAGCTGCAAAGGATGGCAGTAGTAGTTTCCTGCGCCCCACAATTAGAAGAAAACACATAGGAACTCAGTTAATTTGGAGAGCCATTTTGAAGCTAAAATATTTTGCAAATGGTATAAATATCTAGAAATAACTGGATACTCACACCCTCCAAGGTATATCAAGAACATCATCTACAAATCCAAGCAATACCATAAAGCATATGGATGCTAATGCTGCATTGTACTCGACTAGCCACTGCATGATTGAAATGTTAACACTTTAGTCTTCCACCATCCAAACAGATGGCCACAATTTACAAACATGAAATTCAGTAGAAGAAGCCTTAGAAGGTGATACAAAAAGGATTGAAGTTCATCATGTCAGAAAATCAAAGAGTTGCTTCTCCAGATCAACTTGCATCCACTCCTACTAGTGCCATCATCAATCTTCATCCACACCTCAAAACCATCTTGGCTCTCATATCAGTTGTCAACTCATTCTAACTCTAATTCCACAATGTCAGTACTTCTAGTGTATCCTTTCTTATTTTGCCTCTTCTAGTTCATTATTTTCATTCCAGCAGTCCTCATTACATAGTAACAGTACAAAGCATGGTTATTTTATGCTTATCCTACAAAACTCTACATTAAAAGTTGTAGCATTCACTGCCCTCAGCAACATTAGTTGCAAAATAATAATAATAATAAACACCGGTTCTCACCACCATATCCTCTACTGTAATCCATTCAATATTCCCCAGACCACATCATCACCAGTGGGGCCAGCTCTTCCCCATGACCATTACACCATGGCTTAGGAGCCCAAACAAATTAAAAGTCCCCATGTATTTACTGTTTAATAAAAGCTAATTTTCCTCTTTTTTTTTTTTAATTTTACTTTTGTCCTTAATGCGCTATTTAAATTTTCCCACACTATACAATAGTTTCCATATATATTACAAAGAGGAAAAACAGCCCTTTCATCCTTTTTGTCTCTTGTAAATTATCACAATTGTTATTCTTTTAGATATTCTTTCACATAAGAAAAATCGCTACAGTAAACCTTTAATCTACATTTCCTTTCCTCTTTTAGACTCTTCTTTCAAATAAAAGATTTAGATAGTCAAGAAACATAACATTATCAATTGATATATTAAATACCACAGGGTCTTGCACTTTTAGGCTCTAGTTGTTGACTTTAATCACCACCAGCACCATTCCCTCCAGCCTACCATCATCACAAACCACACTAAGCTAAGGAGCCCTACTACAGCAAGCATACTCACCGCACCACCATGGCTCCATTGAGATTGGCTGTGATCTTATTATGCATTTTGATCTCCCTACCCCTCAATTGGTGGGAACAGTTTCTTCCCTAATGCCTTTAACTATGTAAATAACTACATTTAAAAAGTAGGCAAACAGATAACAAACAAACAGGAATTCTCATGTTTCACCAAAAGCTAATAGTTTCACCTCTGAGCAACTTACATTTGAATCTGCAGTGAAGTTGAAATACTGGAATAAGATTCCCAAGACCAAGAAAACAATTCCAACAACAATACCCAATGACTCAGGCCTGCAAAACCCAAATGGAACATTAACTATAAAAGATTAGTTAGGGGTATGAAACATCAGATTAATATAGTAGACTATTTACATTTGGAAAAGAAAAAAGAGGATCTTCTCCATTGCACACTTCATAGTATTTGGATTTTGCATTTTCTAGAACAAACATTCTGAAATAGAAATCAAGATTTCTCACTAAAATCAATTTCTAGGGAATACAAAAGGAAAAACCAAAGAAAAAACTATGGATGATAATCACTGTGCCTTAATTGTCCATAATCACTGATGCTGCAAATCATCAAACTTTCCATAAACAGCAGTCTAAATAATGATCTCCAAAGACTCAGGAACAGAGATGAAACAATTGAGCTGCAAATTTAGCATGCAGCATACGTTCTGCTCTTAGAGATTGGAAATGGATAAACTTAAATATGAAATAGCTCACAGCTATATAATAAAAATGACAATTCCAATGCATGAAGCAGAGTAAGTCATTTAATATTCA